GAGTCGCTGGTGCGCAAGTCGAGCGTCTTTGCTCGGAAGGAAAGTTTGGCGTACGACCTCGCCAGCCGCTCGGGTGCGTGGTTCTCTTCCCTTCTCACACTTCGCCTCCCACACGCCTCCCACGCGGCGCCGCCTCCCCGCCTAGCGCTCCTCGCTGCCGACCCGCCAAGAGAAGAGTACTCTTCCCCCGCCCCCGAGGCTCCTTGGAGCCCACCTCATTCCTCAAAACTCCTCCCCCCTCCACAAAAGAAAACCGCCAAAAGAAACGAAAGTGAAAGGAAAGCAAGTATTGCTTTAGAAAAAGCGAAAAAAAAACCACTCACGGAACCCGCCCCCCGCGATCCCTGACGCTCATCTCCAGCACGCGCTGCAGCTCCTCCTCCTCGCGGCGGCGGATCGCGTCGTCGGCGGCGGGCGGCGGCGGCGTGTCGGGGCGGGTGTATTTGTAATCTGCGTGCGCGCGTCAGCGAGCGTCCCATATCTCCAAAGTGGTTTCCAATTGAAGAAAAGAGATGGAGGATTTAAGAGGGGAAAACAGAGACAGAGGCAAACGCACTCTTCGCCCGTAACCCCTCATAGCACTCGCCCATGAGGCCGAGCGTGCTGTCCTCGGCAAAGTCGGCGGTCCACTGCGCGACGAGCGCGAGGGCGCGCGTGCGGACGCGGTCGTGGGTGTTCTGTGGTAGAGTAAATTAATATATCAGTAAAACAAGAAACCGGATAACACGAGGGAGGAGACGACGCCGCCAACACCCCCGAGGTGCCCCCGGCCCAGGGCGGGGCGGACGGACAGAATTGTATAGAATAGAATAGAGAATAGAAAGGCCAGCTCGGAGCTGTGAGCGGGCGACAATCATGGCATCACGGGCACCAGCGGTGGACGGGTAAACGGCGGCACGCCACAAGACGTAAGGCGGAAACCACCCCGGGATGAGATCCGTCGGGTGGCGCAATATCACTCCCACGCAAAATCGAGCGCAGCGCCCCTCGAGGCGCAAGTCGCGTCGGCGTCGGCGTCGGTGGAATGACGAATATCTCCGCCAGCCGTCCGTCGCAGAATGACGCAGAGGTGCAGACACTGACTTGACTTGGCAGCTAGACACCCTGGCGCATGTCAAGACCGACCCGGGCGCTCGTCGTGACCCCGCGGGGTCCCATACGCGTCCGCAGTAAGCAAGGCTCCCAAGTCCCAGTCCAGATCCCGCCCAGCGCATCAAAGCAGCGAGCAGCGGCGTCGATGAGGGGCGAACGTCCTAGGTCATAGACCCGGGAGTGCATCATGACTCCGGGGCATCACATACGCGGCCGCAGTAATGGGCTCCACAAATCCCAAGTCCGGATCCCGCCCCAGTGTCGATGCGAGCAAAGGCGGATAGTACGGGAGGCGGGAGGCAGCGCCGAAATCGCATGCCAGCCACAGTACCCCACAACTCCGCTCAAAATCACAAGCCGCACCCTCCTCCCTCCCCGCCCGCCTCCCCTCCTAGTCCAAATACCGTGCGCGCACTCACCCGATCCGTAATAACTCTCTCCAGCCCTTGCGTCCACGCCCGACTGGCCAGTTCACGATGCAGCTCAATGCTGCAGTTCTTCCCGAGCGCCTCCGCGAGACTCAGCGCATACAGCTGCACGTTCGGATTCCGGTGCGTCAATCGCTTCAACAAGGCGGCTACGACGTTGTGGGCGCCCTCCTGGCCCTCGTCCTGGACCTTGTCGCAGAGGTTGAGGATGAGCTCCCAGTTCTCCGAGGTGAGGGTTTCGTCGGTGGTTTTGACTGCAAAGGTATGAGGTCGAAGTCGGAGGATAAGGAGACTACGCACCGACGATCTCATCGTATGGGTTTGTAGATGTGCCGCCGAACATTGTCGAGTCCAAGATGCTGCTGTTCAGTGTTCGCTGCGGCACAGTGCGTCACTCGCCTAGTGACATGTCACGGTCACTGCCTTGTCACAGCCACTCCATCTAATCCATCCATCGTCCTCCCTTACATCCTCCTTGTTCACCATGGCAAAGGGTGCGTTTCTATTCCAATACAGCATACGCACTCACCTAGTATATGCCAACCCACAGTCCCGCGCAACTTCCGCCTCCTCGAAGAGCTCGAAAAGGGCGAAAAAGGCATCGGCGACGGCTCCTGCTCCTACGGCCTCGAGGACTCGGACGACATCATGATGAGCGCCTGGAACGGCACCATCATCGGCCCAGGCCACACCGTCCACGAGAACCGCATCTACTCGCTCAAGATTACGTGTGGCGAAAGTTACCCGGATGCCCCGCCGAGGGTGCAGGTGCGTCGCGTTGTGTATTGGGTTTCACGGTGTTGATGTGCGCGCCCCGCAGTTCCTATCGCGCGTAAATCTCCCGTTCGTCAACCAGGTCAACGGCGACGTCGACCCCGCAAAGCTCCCCGTCCTTGCACACTGGTCCCGCGCCAGCAGCCTCGAGCACGTCTTGGTCGAGATCCGCAAGTGCGTGCGCGTTTCGTTTGTCCTTTCCTCCCATCTCGTCCTTTCTTTCGTGTTCCGTCTTGTTGTTTCTCTTGCCTCTGTTGGTCGCGCGCGCCGTTATCTTAGCGGCTCCGACCCACGTGATTCTCCGAATCGCCGGTGCTCATTCTCATCCTTATCTTGTCTTTCATGTTTCGGACATCTCATATTTGTCTCGTCTCGTCTCGTCTTTGGTTTACCGGACACATCTTTCCTTCTGCCGACGCTGACTCACTCCCCACAGAGAAATGGCCTCCGCCTCAAACCGCAAGCTCCCCCAGCCGCCAGAGGGCAGCACATTCTAGCCGCCGCTCTCAATATCTCTACGTTTGGTTTTCGTGTCGGTGTCGGTGTAGGATTAGACTGTGTGTTGTGTATGAGATGTAGGAGGGAGCGGGTGTATAAACGCAATGAAACGAAAGAACGAACGAACGCTCTTCAACTTTTCTTACTCCTCAAATGCGACTCGAGCCCGATGTCGGGTCGCAATGAGGAAACAAAGGTCGAACACTAAAATTCTCAAGAAAGAAAGCAAGCAAACAAACGACAAAAAAAAAGGTCGACCATTCCCGAACACGCTCCAAGCAGGAGTCAAACCCGCGTGCGCCTCAGACCTTTCTGACGTCATTAATCGGTGAGGCTGGTCTACCGCTGACCTTTGGAGCTTCCCAGGGCCGGAGTGGTATCTTGAGACATCGGCATCTCAACATCCCAGCATCGCTCCATGATCTGGAAAAAAAGTAGCTATAGTAGTTGGCTGGAAAAATACACAATAACTTCCCACTTTCACGGCTCGAAAATTTCCCCGCTTTCATGTTGGCTCAAATTTTTTTTTGGTCAAGGGGGAGCCCACAAGCGTCTACATCAAGGGTCTACATATGGCTAAGGTGGAACTATACTAGATGCGACGGTAACACGATGTGACTTTGTGTTTCCCAAAAGGAAACTCCGGTGCACGGTGCTCGAGGCTGTATTTCGCAAGTTCGCAGTGGGCAGCAGTGACGGACATCACCCGCAGTGTTTTGCAGGGCCCGGCTCGGCCTGAAAGCCGGGGCTTGGGCCCGGCCTGGGAGGGCTTGGGCTTCCATTCTTGAGGCCCGAGCCCCAAGCCCTGGGGGAGGCCTGGCCCGGCCCGGCTTGGGCTCAGGCCCGGGCCTGGAAGTCAAAATATCATGTAAAATACAAAATTTTAATCATTCATATCTACATCCGACCCGCATTCATCCGACTCGTAGTCTCGTATTATCCACAGCAAATCTACTACGCAACTCCAGGAGCATGACCTGTGGTGAATACAAGACACCAGAATACTCGGCAGATACATACTCCGGTAGCATGTAAACAAATAGCAGAGACTTGGGTGCTCCTTTGAACCATACAATCAACTCCCGGCAAATAATAAGTGAGTGAAAAGAACTCAAAGACATACCTCCGAGTCAATCACTGCGTTCCGGGGGGTCCGTACAAGCGATGTCAGACTTACCGAAGACATGATCAACAACTCAATACATTTTGCCATCAATAAAAATTACGTGAAGTCATGATGTTTCTGACTTTTATACCGGACAGTGAGGTGGTGCCGAGATCCCAAACTGTACAGGAGCAAGGGAAATCATGACACTGTTAAATGTTTGAGGTACTTGAGAGACTTGGATCAATACACACTGACATCAGTTGGCGCGGCAATATTTGGCCGGCCAAGCCCGGGCTTAGGGGCCTGGCAGGGCTTGAAAAATTTCAAGCCCGAGCCCTGGGCCCGATGAAGCCCGGTCTAGGGCCCGGCTCGGCTCGGGCTTGTGGGGCCCGGCTTGGCGGGCTTCAGGGCTTCAGGCCGGGCCGTGCAAAACAGGTGACCCGCTGTACAAAGAAAACAAGGGGCCTCAAACGTCGTCCGATACTTCTGGCTACGGTATACCTTACCATCTCCAGTCCGCTATATATTTCACTGTTAATTTTCACATTCATTATCTCCCCGCTCGTCAATCATCCTTGTTACTAGTACTGCGCAATTTCGTTCAATTCGGCACGGGTTGTGACCCGTGACCCAAAATACCGATTCGGCACTTCGGCAACCAGCGAAGTTTGGCGTGACACCTCCAAAAATTCGGCATTCAAGACGGAAATTTTCGAAATTTCTGCCTTTTTTGCACCTCCGAGGGAGATTTGGCCCGGATGTCACGCATTTTACATTCGGCACTGGGTACCGTGACCCATGACCGAAACCAAAATTCATCGCGGCACAGGGGGTGCGTGACGCGTGACCGCCGAATTGAACGAAATTGCGCAGTACTCTGCCGCCTCAGCGACCGTCCCGAGTTCTTCTCCCCTTGACCCTGTCTCCGCTCCTGTCACGGCGGTGGCTTCAAACACCGTACTTACCTTCGACTCACGAAGCCGGAGTTTCCTTTTGGGGAACACGAAGTTTACATCATTTTTCCTTCTTGTCGCGTCTCCATCCTGTCCCAACCAAAAAAAGTAGAGTGGGAGCAAAAAACAACGATCGGATCTTTGACATGCCCCAAGCAGGAGTTGAACCCGCGTCACCTCAGATCACTCTGCAACTCAAGCATAAGAGAGGCTGGTCTACCACTGACCTTTGGAGCTTCTCTAGTGCTGTAGTGGTATCCTGAGATACCTAAGTTATTGTCATTCCAGTATCGTCCTAGCATGTGTTCACATGCAAGCAGTCACATCACTCCAACTTTTTCCCTCCTTGCCCCCTACTCGCTTGCTCACTCAACTTGAGTATACCTGTCTTGTTTCTGGCTTAAAAAATCTCCGCCCACCATCCCAGTTTCTTTGTTACTCAATGGGCGTCTGGGACAGCCACTGGTGGATGCAATAGAAATTTATGTGCAAGCCCAGTTGGCATGGATATCATTTTATGTGTGCCCATCTGGTGGGGGCATCCGGGACTGCCACATGCATCAGGCTGAGAAATTTAGGAACATGCACATTTGGCTGGAATAAAATTTCATGTGTGCCCTCGAGCTGCGGGCGTCTGGGACGACCGTTAGCAGAGGCAAAACAATTCATTTATGCCTGCAGAGTCAGGTGTAATAGAATTTATCTAGCGGCAATATAATTTTATGCCTGCACCTCTGAGAGAGAGGTATAGTGTGGAGATATACTCTGCTTCAAAATGTTGGATAGATAATCATGTTTCTACAAAACAAGAGAAAGAGAGTATGGCATGGGAAAATAATCCTTGCTGCAGTGATGGGTGTCTGGGGCGCCCATCAGAGAGAGAGGTATAGCATGGGAATATACTCTTTGCTTCAAAAGCACACCATGTTGGATAGATACTATAATACACCTAATTTCATTCCTTCAAAACTAGAGAGAGGGCATAGCATGAGAAAATAGTGCTTGCTGCAGGGACACCCATCCAAGACATTATACAAGAGAGAGTATGGTGTGGGAAAATAGTACTTGGTATAGTGATGGGCGTTCAAGCTCATCACGAGTGCAGTTCACCTGCAAGTCACTGCAGTTGACCCGTGAAAATACTCGTGGGAAACGCAAACTCAATTTCTCTTCCCCTCTGCATGACAAAATTCTGACTTTATTCCCTCGACAGGTTATTGAGTTGCTCAAGTTCGCATTGTATCCTCTCTCACTGCTCGCCACATTGAAGGAATTTTCCCTCCTGGTCATTATCCTCCTAAGCACCTTGGTTACGTCGAATGGTTCTCAGCATTCCCTGCACAGCCGGAAACACCTCACCTCATGTACAAACTTAAGCACTCGTTGAAAGATGGGGAATGCTTGACCAGAATTATTCCCTTGGACAATATTCGCCAGAGTGTTCATCTATTACCCAAATTCGGTGCCATGGTGCCAGCACATTGGACATCAAGCAACGTGTTGGAGGAGTGTTCTGCATTTATGTCAATTGCTTCACTGACCGCTATTCCTACGCAACTATATTTTAGTTTTTCACATTCCTCTCATATATTTGAACTCAATTCAAACTCTACTTGCAAATGTTTGCCGTGTTCGAGCGGCAATGCCCCCAATGGGGAAACTTACTGCTAATTGTATGATCTTGACCTGTCTTGGCCAAATTGGAGGCAATTGGGGGCATTTTTGGAAAGGATGTTTTTCCTGATGTACTTCAAACCTTAACTGGAAAATCTTGGGATATCTGCTGCCTTAGATCCATCTGAGTCATCTGTGCTCTTCCCGACTTGCCTAGATGTGGCGCTTCTCAATATGTCGCTTCTCAAACTTCGTGATCCAGTGCTCCCAAGAACAATCATATGCATTGCATATCACTATTGTATCCCCTTGTCAGTGTCATTCTGCCGAAGCAGACACTGATCATGCCCAAATATACCACACAAACGGATCAATTACTGGAAATGCATATCCCATTATCTCGTCGTGTCAGACTGTTTTTTGTTTTTGGAATGTAAGCCCAGGAATACACAGCCCAAGGCAAGCAACCCGCAGATGCCCTTCTATTCTGCATCCCTTCTCTTTTCTTCCTCTTTCTATATCATCCCATGCCTTACTTGCCTTCAGTGCTCCTCAAATGGTCCCGGCGGTTGGGTAGGATTCACTGCCTGTGACATTGACCTAACGACTGGTCATCCATACCTTGCCCAGTGTTATCATTATTTACTCTCTGGAGATGGACTGGACCTGCTCCTCAGATTTCGAGTGGTTCCCACAAGCACTGTGTAGTTTCCTGTGGCCATTCCTGGATCTCCCATCTTCCTGCAGCCATGAACACGTATGATTTCCGCCGTGACACCAGGGGCAAAGACCAACACATATGGTTTTTATATGGATCGGTCTTTGCCCCTGGTGTGACCTCTGCAATGCATCTAACTGTGCTGGGTTCTCTTTTGTTGCTCTACAACTGCTTCTGACTAACTTGCATATCTGGACCATCTAGCCCCGGAACATTCACATGCTCTGTGTTTGTGCTGTTGCAGTAGAGCCAATGCGAGCTGTCATATTTAAAAGTATAGAGGGTAGAGGGCTTTTTTGCTGGGAAAGATTATCAGTATATAGTGCAACCACTTCTTTCCACAGTACAAAGTCTTGCATGGCAGGTACCTCAGCCAATTCTCTCCACATCTGCACTCCTCGCTGCATGTATTCCTTTGTTGAAATACCTGGAAGTGCTTTCAAGACTGCAATGTAGGGACAACTGGCCTTGTTGACGCACATTGCATTTGCGGCTCAAAAATAAAACAGGGTCAGTCTAACTCCCATTGCTTGCTGTAGCTATCTTAGGTGACCTTCGATTCTCATGCGCCCTTTCCGCAATAGATCCTACATGAGGTGCAGAAGCACCACCTTCGTCAACTGTGCATGCACACAATATTGGTCGTGAAGACCATGCTTCCTTCCCCAATTCCCAGCTCTTTCATCCCTCATTGGACAATCTCCTTTTGGGGTCCCGTGCAATTTGGCGAGGCCGTCAATTGCAACTCAAAGGACTGAACTTTGAGTATACCTTGCACATGTCCTCGATCGCCTGGGTCTCCAGATCGGCATCTTATACATTCACAAGACCTAGAATGTGCAAACCTCTGCTTCCCCTATGAGCAGTGCGACACAATCCTCTGTCGGGAACCCGAGCTCCCGGATTTCGTCATTGAATTCCTTGTTTGCAAATGACTACAAACTGTTAATCAGGAGTTCATGCACTGTAGAAAACGGAGTGCGTGAAATTCTCCCTTGACCTTTGTGAATTTCACCTTTCACTCCGAAACACCGTAAAAAATCTTTCACCCCATGGGGTGAGAAGATATCCATTTAGTTACACTCAGGCATTTGACCGGGCGCGAATAATGCCCTGTAGCAGGATAAAATGGGACTCCCTGGGACAGTTTCTCCTCCCCCCTTCTTCCACCATGTCTCAAACACGCAACAACCCGTATCCAACTCTCATCATCTCAGGAAGTCGTTCTCGTCGTCCTTCCGACCGCCTAGCTAATCACTCCATTTCAATGCTCATGAGCCAGTGGCACACATTCCGGATATGTCTGCTGATTTACGAGACAAAATTGGGCTTGTGCAGGCGATTGCAGTCAAGGTCAGATCATCTTTAGCTCATATTTGCTATCACTCACCTTGAGATTAACATTCATCCTCTAAGCAGAAGACTCTATTCAAATGGATCCAGCTTTGTCACCAGGCAGACCCAGATGACATCGCAAAGCAAATGCTAATTGACATGAAGGTCCGATGGTCTTCAACGTATGCGATGCTAGACCGTGCCCACAATCTCAAAGAGGTAATTTGTTGTGTCAGTGTTCCCGATTCGATTTGCTGATGCTCGTCAGTCTGTTAATGATTTTGCATTTGAAATCACAATGGATGTGGTGGGGGAGAAGCACCGGAAATTGGCCAAGCTACAACTCTCGGAAGCGGAATGGATACGTGTTGATTTATTCTTGAATTTACTCGCAGTATGTTTATCGCTCTGTGTTGTTTCTTTACCAACACAATCATAGGTTGCCGAACAGACTCAACACAGGTTTTCCTCTGATCTGAAATCTATGCTACAACCGGCCCTACCTGCGCTTGAGAGTCTGCACACCAGTTGGACCCAACTTGCTGCAGATCCTCGGTATACACATTTTGTCCCGGAAATTGAAGAGGCCCTCGAGAAGGTGGATAAGTATTACCAAAAGACATCAAAATCGGATGTGTACACATTTGTGATGGGTTAGTTTTATGCAGACCGAGTTTCAATAGGGGAACTCAAAGTAGCGGTTCGCTGGACACTTTTTCGCCTTTTCGCCGGAGCAGCTGCTTTACGTGAGTTTCGGCAAGTTTCAGCAAACAGCCGGTGTGACCATTCCCTTCTGGGATAGCCCCTATGATGTGCTGCATCTTGTCGATAACGCGACATAGTTGCACTGTTGATGGCACCCTCACTGTGACTCGCTTGCCAAGAGTGTGACTGGATGAGTCGCACTCACACTATTTTTGTATATACTCCAAGTCAAGCCGTCCAAGCCCACACAGCCAAATTCAAACTCCGCTAAGTGGGGCCAGCTGTTTTGGCAAGGTCGTCAACTAAGTCTGCTGATTTGAGTCCCTGTCCATGAGTGCAAACTGAGGGCAACCGTGAGTTCAACTTGCCTAAGATGCTAGGATGTTAATTATGGTGTTGCCAATCACATCGCCCACAGTACCAGGCGTGCCATAAGTGTTGTTGCCCCAGTTGTGGTCTCTACCCGAAAAATACGAACTGCCTGGTCCTCAGCAGATATCCATTCAGAAAGAAGGGAGGTGTATGGAGAAAAGTGAATCTGGGGCGGAGGGCTGGTCAACTCTCGTTATGAACTTGCACAGAGCTGGATCGGCGATGAAATCTTCAAATCATTGCCTGTGCCCGGGAAGGGGATAACAAAGCCGAATTCATACTTGCAGTCAGTTGAGTTGTTTTTTTTCGAACACATGTAAAATCTAGAAATCTTACCCGCCAATCCAGGATATCCGTGCTATGCGCTGGTGGCAAGGGAAACTGCAATTCTAGTGCCAACCGGACCGAACACTTCCAAACCCCGCAATCCTTTTCTTTCAGGATCCACTCCTGTTTGTCCACCACTGCTGTCAGCAACGGCCTCTGGGTCGG